ATCACACTCACATAATTCCATGTTTATAATCTATATATATAAAAATGAATTGCTGTTCGTTAGTCTCGCTAAAACTCGAGAACGGCTGAACCGATTTGGCTAATTTTAATCTTAAAATATTCATGGAAGTCCAGGAAAGATTTAAACGATGATAAATTATTAAGAAATTGCATGGAGAATAGTAAAAACAACAATTTTATTTTCCCATACAAACTGTCAAACAGGGAGCGTTCAGAAATGTATTGCGTAACTAAACTTCAAAAAGTGAACGGACAATTGTACATATCGATATCGATCTTGTGTACTAAATAACGGTCTGTGCAGTGCTTAGTAGACAATATTTAGTTTCTTTGGCTGGCCATAATTAATTGCAAGTGTTACAATGAAGTAACTGTAACTGTGTCCCATAACCACATGGGAGCATATAAGAGTGAATTGCAGCTATAGTGCTGCAATTAATTGTTATTAACTTGTCTTCTCTAGTAATACTCGTACATCAATGATATGAGCTGCCAGCTGTATACATACTGAAAGATGAGGTAATATTTTAAAAGTTTGCAAAGTAAGTTACAGCACTAGCCTTCGTGTGGTGACATAATAAGGAATGCAGTGTTTTTGTAGGCGATAGAACGAGTGGACTGTATGTGTGATGTAAATCAAACAATGGATAGAAAATGGTAAATACTTATAATGAAGATACGTGTACAAATGGTTGTAAGACAAAAAGTGACAATAAAAAATATATGGCAATTCTAAAAGAAAATACTTTTAAAATTGGTAGAAAAATATACATATAAAAATGTGCAAAGAGTTTGCAACAGTTTTCATCATCAGGATGTTATAAAAACTAATTATTATTATACTTGTGAAGTACCTCTCACATTTTAACAATAATTATACAATGCTAGACAAGGATCAACGGGATGATTTCTAGCAAATTTTACTAGAAGGATTATAATGATTTTTGTATATAAATACATAAATTATATATATTTATATGTAAATTCTATATTACACGGGTTACAGGTACTATTCAATGTTTGTAAGTAAGTTTTAGAACAAGTTAAAACAAATAAAAGTGATTATATTTTTACTATTATTTTCTTATTTTGCGTAATTGGCAAATGTTTGTCACAAATCTTTGTTACAATTATGCCAAATAAACTATAAATATATATTTTATTTAATTATTAAATATTATTCCATATATTATACATTGCGACATTTTGGTAACAACGTCCTTAACCTGGAAATCATTTTAATCAGATACCTTCATTGGAAAATTACTGTTGGCAATATTGATCATATTTACATCAAATCCGATTTGGTGCACGCGGCCTGATTGCTTCCTAATTGCATCAGTTGTACGCAGGACCGTCCTATGCCGTTAAACCGTTTCCTCATCTGACGGTACGGTATCGATTTACCCAATCAGCTGTGTTAACTTTATATCGACTTTGTAGAAAGTCTTTGGAAGGACCTACATCTCATCTATTTCTACGTCAAGCAACTGGTGAGCAGAATGCTCGTTTGTCCCCTGTGCTATAAAAAAAAACTTGTTCTGTTTAGCTTGAGAGTGAGATTACAGAATACGGATCCATTAGATTTTAGTTTTCCGGAATCACGGGCGTGATAACGTGATATCCATTATACACGGGGGGATACAGCAGTGAGATTACAGAATACGGACGCATTAGATTTTAGTTTTCCGGAATCACGGGCGTGATAACGTGATATCCATTATACACTGTGAGATACAGCAGTGAGATTACAGAGTTCGAAGACATTAGATTTTATTTTTCCGGAATCACGGGCGTGATAACGTGATATCCATTATTAATACAGTTTTAACGTGAATAATTTTATGGTAAACTAGCTGTCCCGGGAATATAACTATTAAAAAACAGGAGTTAATCGTAGAAGAGTGAAAATTTTAAGTTGTACGTATTTTACAATGCTAAATCATAAATATAAAAAATGTCTAATAAATAAATTTTAGAGGTAGACAACCCTTATCGCTTATGGTTATGAAAAATACATAGTAGCCGATTCTCAGATCTACGGAATATGCATATAAAATTCTATAAAAATCGGTCAAGCCGTTTCGGAGTATTATTCTAACTAACATTGTGACACGAGATTTTTATACATATATAAGATAGATTAAAATTAAAATAGATAGTAGAGTAACCTTAAAAAAATCAGAGATACCAGAGAGAAATACCAGATTACAAAATCAGATTTTCTGAAATACACGAATTTCTTTGCGTATTTCGTAGATTGTTTAAATTATTCGAAAAGGCTTTTTAGATATTATAAAAATATGTAACTTTCCTAACATAGTAATGTTATAATTTCATACTAAACTTGTGTTTCACGCAAAAAGAACACTTCTAGAAAGTATAATAAATATTTCTAGCCTTTTCCCTAAAAGCATTTGCCTATAACAGGCCTTCTCAATCGACTATTATTACGACCCGCAATATTATTATTTTAATTACTGAGTATTTTAATTTTAGATAACAAGTCATACAATTATATTAAAAATACAGATATAGTTATTTTGTAATATAGAAACGCTCATTAGTAACTTTTTAATTGAACTCATTTGTCACTTTATTTTTTAGTCGTCTAATAAAGTATAGAATATTACTATAATGTATATTATACATAGTATGTAAGTAGTATATCTAAATATATATAACTCAAAGGTGACTGACAAAGTGATCTATTAAAGATGCATGCAGATGTTATGACGTAGGCATCCGCTAAGAAAGGATTTTGATTAATTCTACCCCCAAGAAGGGATAAAATAGGGGATGAAAGTTGGTATGAAACTTTGTCAATTTTAAACCGATCAGGCTGAGACTTTGTATGCATAAAGCTACTGTGACGTAGGCATACCCTAAGAAAGGATTTTGATAAATTCCACCCCTAAGGGGATAAATTAACGCGAGCGAAGCCGTGGGCAAAAGCTAGTATAATATATAAGTACATTATACTATACAGAATTTTACTATAAAGTATTTTACATCATCATGCAGCTTACAATTTTAAAAGCGAACTGTATGTGCGAGTGAGATAGAAGTGTCAAAGTAGGTACAACGTCTCACTCGGAAAATTCTTTTATTACTGAATGGATTTATATTTACAATAAATTAAGACGTCGTTAAAAATATTTATAAACAATAATTAAATAATAATAATAATAGCACTGGACAGTTTACACAGCGCCACCTAGTGGCAAGCTAAGCACAGCTTGTATTATGGTTACTACATAACTTATATACATACTTAAATACTTGTTATTGTAAATACAGAAGTAAAATACATAGAAAACATTCAGATCAATACAAACAATATGGATATGATTATTTGTATGCATGTATGTGACATGTAAATGACAAATTTCTGCCATGCGTCCATCAAAGGTATTTATGACCATTATGAAAAGATTGTAAAATTGAATTTTTTAACAATATTTAGATGTCTATTATTCGTTTTGAATTTAGTATATTTTTGGTTATACATATGTTTATTGCGATGCGACCTCTAGGGAAGTAAAGTTGAGAAACACTGACGCGTAAGGTGTAAAAGTAATTTGATTAGATTTTGTTTGTCGCCGCGAATACTCAGTGAGTTCAGTATATTGTACTTATAATGTTTATTATGAACCACAACTCATTGTTTTGTAGAAAAATGAACTTTTTGAACTTGAAATAGAGTAGCTTTTTGTTTTACAGCAACTCATTCACCTATTCGTATTTATATGAGGTTTTATGGTGTTTATATTAATTAATTAATTAACTTTGACGGCTTCTGTGGTCGAGAGGTTTAGCACACCGGTTTACTTCCGATGGTCGCAGATTCGATTCCTCACACGGTATACACATTTGTATTCATGAGTATTATTGTTTGTATCGGTCTGGGTGCTTTCTATATATAATATGTATGTATTTACAAGAAAAAAAATATCTATGCATTTGTATCAGTTTGTATCAATAGAATAGAAAATCATTTATTCAAATAAACTTACATTGAAGCACTTTTGAATAGTCATTACATTTTTTTTAATCTACCGCTCGTTCGGAAAACTGTCTCATCACAAGAAGAACGAGCAAGAAACTTGCGTGTTGCTCTTTTAAATAATTTTATTATTACTTTACATTTTTAAGTTTAAGTGTGTGAATACAAACCACCAATTAGCACTAATTCAATTAAATACTCAAAAAGAAAAAATATTGAATACATAACCAACTGGTTAAACAATTAATAAGAGGAAATCAGTCATAGTGATTAGAGCAGACCAGTCCCTACAAGCAGCACCCGTTCACGAGTATGACGGATGAGCCAGCCATCACTGCGCTCGACCATATTTTAGGGAGCCCAATAACCCGGCCCACCACGCCGCCACAAGTCTGGACATTTTAGTGAGCATGACTACTCAAAACACTAGACCACGTCAAAGCTACTCACAATTGCCATCTGATAGTATCTCCCATAACACAAGCTCTAGCCAGCTTCGCAGACCTATTAGATTACACCAAAAATTTTATAAAAATGGGTCAAGCCGTTTCGAAAGAATTCGACCACAATGACTGTGACACGAAATTTTTAATATTTACTAATGTTGGTATAAGAGTAGATTACGACTAAATCCAGATTGATTAAGATAGCGTGTATAATTGGTGTACAATTACATTTTTATCTAAAGTTAAAAAATATTAAACCAACGCCATCTATCCGCAGACATGGTCAAAATTACCAAAGAAAAGACAATTTTCTTTCACTGGTGTAAGATTACATTTTCATCTACAAATTAAAAATATTAACCAGCGCCATCTATCCGCAGGCCCGGTCAAAATTACCAAAGAAAAGACAATTTTCTTTCACAGGTGTAAGATTACATTTTCATCTACAAATTAAAAATATTAACCAGCGCCATCTATCCGCAGGCTCGGTCAAAATTACCAAAGAAAAGACGCCGCGTGCTACCTGTAGAGCAGCCTCGTAGAAAACGCGACGCTAGCGCCTCCAACCGGCGCGTCAACGCTGTGAAACATCCAGTGGTGCTGAAGGATTTATCTCCAGGTAGCAACAAAGTTGGTAAGTTGAATAGGTAAGGAGGCGAGACACAGATGGCGCTACCTGCGGAGTTCTATTTTCCGTGACTACGTTGGTTCCGTAGTACTAATAAAGTGTGACAAATTCAAGCAATATGTACTTCATCATTACATAGTATAAAACAAAATCGCTGTCGCTGTCTGTCCGTACGGAACGGATACGCAACGGATTTGGAAGCGGTTTTTTTTAATAGATAGAGTGATTCAAGAGGGAGGTTTATATATATAATATATGTACACCCGGCCCAAGCCAGGGCGAGTAGCTAGTAGAGAATATAAAGAAAGATTACATCTATTTTCAGATTCGTATTGTACAATAGAAGGTTACTTATTTATTATACTGAAAAATATAATATTTGATACTTTTATTTAAATAAAAATCAGTTTTCAAATATTAATAATTTCTTTTATATGAACTACTAAGCATTTTAACGCAGCTTCGGGTAATTATGATAGCGATCTCCAATTTTCTTTAAAATAAAATACTTATACTTATTTTACTCATCTATCACTGATAATGTAGTTATAAATGACAGAATTTTGAATAATCCTGTACAATACAAAGAGCACTATCTAGTCCCAAGCTAAGCAAAGCTTATGGTATGGGTACTAGATATGAAACTGATATAAATAAATACATATTTTTGTATCATATATACAAATGTTTACACCGTGCGAGAAATTGAACCCGCGACCATCAGACGTAAAGAAAATCCATTACATAACAAATAATATAAACTAAAATTAATATAGATTTACATTCTAATAATAATAATAATTCAACAAACAGAGTTAAAATATAAAAAAACTTAGAAGCTAATATCGCTCTATGAGCTGAACGCCACTCAGCTGATGCTGCAGCGTGTCATTGCAGCGCTGATTTTCAGTGGAGCCACTCAAAAAAAATACCATTCTTAATATATATTTTTTTACTTTAAATGTAAAATAAGAGTATATTAAGATGAATTATAAATGTAAACAACATTAGAACATAAATTCTATTACATAGTTAATATGGTAAAATAGTCATAATTATTGAACTAACAGTCAAATATTTATACAATTCCAGGTGTAAACGGCATGAACATGATCAGCCTAGCTCTGCAAGGACCACCGAATCTCCTACGTCCACCTCCCACGGCGACTCAGCCGCTGCAAGCGAGAGCTCCCATTGGTAAAACTAACATTACAGTCTTTCAATCTAAAGGCATGTCTACACCAAAATATAACAAAACATATAACCAAAACATGATCGGGGAACATCTATAGCCTAGTATTGACCGAAGAGTTTGGTCACGCTCGCATTCTGTTAGAAAAACAAGATAATATTATTTGAACTTGTACCTTTCTTCTGTGACCCGTCTTCCTTTTTTCTTCTTTTTTAAATCTTTTTTTTTGGTTTCTACTATAATGTGTTGCTGTACCATGGTATTTGATTATCAGATTATTAGATTTGTATTTATGTATGGAGCTATTACTTATTTATATATATTGATATGTGCATAGTCTATTATATAATTTATTTATATATTCACCGCTTACCATTATTTTTTGCACCATCCATGGTTCGCTAGTACATAATGCCGTGTAGTGTTAAGTTTGTTAAAGTTATATATATAAATAATTAATAAATACATGATCACAGCCGATGTTATATATTATTATTGTACTAAAACTCATGAACCATTTACACAAAATACAGATAATAAATGTAAATATTTTAAACTATTTTAGAATACAATTACACTTAGTTTTATTGCGTTAACTGAATATATTTTATTACTGTAATAAATTACACAATTAACTAAATTATAACTACTTTTGTTATCTATGAGACCGTTATAAATTTAATAATAACTTTATCAGAACCAAAAGCAATAAACTCAAACATTAATTTATATACATAAATTGTGTTATCGAAGGTTCATTCATTGTAATAAAATTGTATGATTTTATTAAAATTTTTAATGATAAGTGTATAGAAGTTAGTTTTCTATATTGTCATAAGATGTCAAACCCTTATCACACGTTTCTTGTTATCTCTTACAGTTGAGAGTCCGATAATCAACACGCAGTCTGGAGCCATATCCTTAGCGTCATTACAACCGCCTCTGATGACTGCCCCTCCCCTGCAACCAAGACCTGCAACCACAGGATCCTTAGATCTGATGTTACCATTGCAACCAAAGTTGTTACCTGGCTACAACCTACAATCATCGTTTTTGTCCAACACCCTTTCAACTGTCCGACCACCAGATTTACCTGATAGAAACGAAAAGAGGGAAGTAGATAGTTATAAACCAAGCATAGAAGTAATTGTGGAGAATAGAGAGTCTATCTCTGATAGCTCGGCGCGTGATAGTAATTTCGAAGGTTCTGGAAAGAGTTGTGAAAATTTAGATAGGATTTTAGATTGTCAAGATTCTGTTAATAGTACTGATGAAAGTAACAATTATAATGTAAATGATATATATGATGCTACAGATAATATTTCATTTGTCAATGATGAAATTAACTCTAATGTTATAGATGCCAAAACAACTGATACTAGTTTAGTTAGTAGTTCTAATGACAATAGTCCCAATAATAACTCTTATTAAATTATTAGATATGTTACTTAATGAAGTTTAAAATACAATGTTTTTAAATTGTGTAACCCCAATAAATTGAGTAATAAGAAATGTCTCCCATTAGATTAATGTAAACAATCATTTTTTAATAATAACAGTCAATCAAATAAAATTTTCTCAAATTACATTTTCTAGTTAAATAATTGTAATTAAAAATTATAATATCTGTGTCAAATGTAGATAAGTAATCTAAATTATGTAAAATTATTAAATAAAATCATTGTAAAAAGAAACGTAATAATTTGGTGAATATGATACGAGTATTTCCTAGTCAACATTAATCTCGACCAAAGAGTAGTTTAGTCCATTAGTTTTATGTAAACAAAGTTTTTGTATATTTTGTAAATGAAAGACGAGACAGTGATCAAATTGTAAATTTCAATCGTACACATAAATGTGAATATACCTGCTAATGTGAGAATCTTCTCTTCTAATGTTTGTAAAATAGAATTTTAAACGCTTGAAATTTTTATCCATATGATGTATCTAATACTATACCAGATATTTAATTTTAATTGTTTAATCTGTTACTACATTTTATTTTTGACATGTTATGTAAAAATACTTAGAATATTAAGTTACATCGCTATTAAATTATGTACATACCTAAGTAACAAACTACAATTTAATGATGTTATCACAGAAGCTATAACTGATTTCTAAACTCCTGAATTGTCTGCTACGAATGAACTCTAAATTTGTGAAATTTTAAAAGCTTACAATATTTTCTCTTATCACATACTGATTACGTATTTTGCTTAATTATTTTATTCCATTATTCTAGATTAGAGAAAATAATAGCAATGTTTATTAGTTCAGAGCATAAAACATTATCAGGTATTTAAAACTAAAAACATACTGGTTAATTCCAGTAGAAACAAGCATTGTTTATCTAAGGAAATTAACCAGCATTGCATTTATGAAACAATACATGCAGTTTAAAAACAATTCACAATGTTCAGTCCGTAAAACAAACATTATCAGACCGTAAATGGATTCGGTATGAAATTCCGTATGCTTTGAAGTTATACTTCTCACTTTGTACCAACATTCAGGAGTGTTTGCTCGCTTTTTGATTTTAGATTTGCTTTCTGAGTCTGCGCAAACTAGCACAGTTGTATCTATCGCTACGTTTTTTTTTAACTTTTATCAGACGTTTTTGCAAATGCAAACCACAGTGGGAATTCTAATGGTTTCCTTTGTTATCTGTTGTTTATTAAAAATGAACATCGTTTGTTTTTAGTTGTACATTTACAAACCTATTACAACTGTTACTACTATTAATATTAAGAATAACTTGTAATAATGATACGGTTTTTTTATTTGCAACAAATGTTAAATTAACATAATCGCACGTACATTTGGCTTCCCAACGTTTTATAATTATTTATGTAATTAAAACTATCCCAAAATTCTCCAAAATGTGCCAATGTTGTATATAACACATAAATTAGGGTATAGAAAAAATGGCTGTTTAAAGTTATACTAATAAGTATGGCTGAGGGATGATAACTGTGAAATAAAAATGTAAAAAATACACATAGAAATTTAAATTAGACTAAATTAGTTTTGTCTCAGCCATATTTAATTCTCTCTTGAATTGTTAGTATGTTAATATTTAAAATTCTAGATCTAGCATATTTTTCTAATGTTAGCATTTTTGTCATTGGTTTTTTCAAATAACACAAATACGTTATTAAATTTTTTCGTGTGAATATTCTGAGGGCGAATTTTTTAATAACATATTTTGCGTGGCGGTCATGGTTTTATTGTACCTCATATTTTATTGTTTGAATAAACAAAGATTGAAAAATGTTAAACCAACTTTATTTCTCTTCCTATACGGTCCTACATAGAATAATAAGTACAAATAAATTAAAGTTCAAAATCCTACGACATTATATGTTGACGACATCTCTACGTCAACTAGACAATGAGTTGAGAATTTAGCTAAGAATCGTGTTGGTGTTAGCTGTCAAATACAATAGCAATAATAATAACCTTAGGAAAATTTACATGGTGCCAACCAGCCCCAAGCAAAGCAGAACTTGTGTTTTCAAACCTACACAACTCATATAAGTGTTTAAATTTTTTGTAAATGCATACAGAACATAAATAGAAAACACTCAGACCAATAAAAACATTCATATTCCTGAATGCAAATGTTTCTACTACAAGAAATCGAACCTAAGACCATCAAAGGTAAAGTGGTGTGCTAACCCGCTAGACAACCGAAGCCGTCCAAAAACAACACAAAACCCAAATATTATAGATATGTCTACAAATAGATACAGAGTAACTCATCTACTTCCACCACAAAGCAGCTTCGTAGGGTGCGACTAGGCAGTAAATTTACAGTCAACATCTTAGTTCTCCGGGATGGCAATGCACGAGTGGTATCACATATAGACAACGGCTAGCATAAGAGGGAAGATGATTTTTAGTAATATGGACTGTGGACCCCATTGCTAGCAATGTACCATGTCAGGATAATCTCCACATGGTTCCCTCTGGAAACCATCGTGATAAATTCCTAGTGAATTTATGATGATGGGCTAACAAAGCTGACCTAATGTTCATCTTATCATCCTCCAATGGTGCCTGCGTAAACCGTAAGCGTAGATGGGCCATTCCATTATCATTTAATAAAAAAAAACGATCACAAGTTACCAAAAAACTAATTTTATTGTAATCACTATACAAGATCTATTTGACTATCTATTTGGATGTAAGATAGAGGCGCTCCTCCCCGCAGCGCCTGGAACAGCTAGAGATGGCGACTCAGAGGGTATAGGTATCAGCAGTAGGCTGATCAATCCTCTCACCACAATGGCAACTCAAACCACAAACCCCGTTCTACATGTACCGAATGCGCGAAAGTCGTCGCAACGTTCTGGGGTAAGTACATTTAGTTGTCATTGAAGCGAAAGACGAATAACTATAATAAGAAATGGCTGAAGTCTTACAAATAGTATAAACGCGGATGTTTGTGAGTGTGGATAAATGGATCCAAAAACTACTGATTGGATTTTAATGAAACTTTACAATAATACATCAAAATAACACATAGGTCATAAATTTGACGCGGGTGAATCCACAGTCACAGCTAGTACATAATATTCGCCAGCACTAGCTGCTTTATTTCCAGTTGGTTACAAACACCGCTTCAATTGAGCCCGCATGTTGCCCGCAACGGTTCAAAGCTGTACATAATTAAATTTCTAACCCAGAGCACTGCCTCTAATCAATGCTCGATATCAAATATTGACAGTGTCGCAGTGCTACTCAACCTATGCCATGTGGGTCGCATAATATATGTATATCTTCTAGGAGAAAGGGGAGTGTTAGTAATATGGACTATGGATCCAATTGCTAACAATGTACTACGTCAGCTTCACCTCCACTTGGAAACTATTGTTATAAATTCTTGGTGAATATCATCCTCCACTGGTAAACCCACCCAGCGTAAACCGTTAGCGCAGGTGGGTGGACTATTCCGTTGTCATCAATTAAAAAAATATACTTAATGAAATAAACATTTTAATGGAGAATGACGTCCAACAAAGACGTCTGCGTGGCTCAGTTCTCCCTATTTTTGACGCCAAACAGCGATCAGCGTAAACGATTCCGCTTGAAAGCTGAGATATAATTCTATGATAAGGAGGCATAATTCTTATGAGACCATAATAATCAAAATTACAAAGTTTGAGCGGTATCACGAGTACCACATGATAAAGTAATTTAAGTAGTGATAATCATGTACTTAGACACCGGTTTTCAAACAGGTGGCCCTTTTCCTTATTCTCCTTCTCCTCAGCTCGTTTGCTCGCATAAATTGCAATGCGACCCGCAAATTTAGAAGGACTGGAGCAACAATGGCGGCTGTAGTTATAGTGTGTTGATTGAAAAAGGATGCCCAATGACCATGGGAACTTTTTCTTATTCTACTCCTCTTCAAGTCGTTTGCTCGCATAATTTGCAATGCGACCCGCAGATTTAGAAGGACTGGAGCAACAATGGCGGCTGTAGTTATAGTGTGTTCATTGAGAAAGAATGCCCAACGACCATGGGAACATTTCTTATCCTCCTCTTCAAGTCGTTTGCTCGCATAAATTGCAATGCGACCCGCAGATTTAGAAGGACTGGAGCAACAATGGCGGCTGTAGTTATAGTGTGTTCATTGAGAAAGAATGCCCAACGACCATGGGAACTTTTCTTATTCTCCTCCTCAATTCGTTTGCTCGCATAAATTGCAATGCGACCCGCAGATTTAGAAGGACTGGAGCAACAATGGCGGCTGTAGTTATAGTGCGTTGATTGAGAAAGGATGCCCAACGACATTGGATAGCCTTTAGCTGTAGTGTTTACGGATAACACGATTCAGTAACCGATCGATTGGTCATCTCGTTTGAGACTGCCTCGAGCGTTCACTTACTTCCAACGTAAGTTAAATTTAACCACTTTCTGTTAACGTTCCAATGTAGTTAGGTGGAATAACTTCAGTTTAACTGCAGTATACCTTCAAGACGTAAGGGGTTAAGTACCATTGTTATATCTATTCATATTTGGTTACATAAACAAATTTGGAGTATCTGGTTGTAATATTGAAATAACCGTTTTTTACTACAGGCATATGAATATAAATACGGTACATACATAAAATAACATTTTTTACAATTTTTGTCTATCTGTCTGTCGGTCTGTTTGTTCCAGCTGATCTCTCAAATGGCTGGACCGATTATTACGAGACTTTTTTTGGCAGGTAGCTTATGTAATAAGGAGTAACTAAGGCTACTTTTATTTTAAAAAAATAAAGTTAAATTCCACGCGGACGAAGTTGCGTATACATCTAGTATAATATATAAGTATATGCATATAACAAGAGTTAGTGCAGATTATTATAAATGCGAAAGTTTGTGAATATAGATGGATGTTTGTTACTCTTTCACGCAAAAACTACTGAACGGATTTTGATGAAACTTTATAGAAATATAGCTTATACATCAGAATAACATATCATTACATAGTATAAAACAAAGTCGCGGTCGCTGTCTGTCCGTCCTTATGTATGCTTAAATCTTTAAAACT